GAACGAGTTTTTCTTCCTGAAAACATGTTTGAAGATCTTCAGAGAAAGTGGAGAGAAAAATTTCTTGAATAAGTTGTAAAAGATGGAGTAAAGAATTCAAAATTTTACTCCATATACTTATAGGGAAGAATTTTACTATTCACCTTTGGACTTTTGGCCATTAAAGTTCCGCCTAATTCCACCAAACTCGCCAAACGAGATCAATCCACTCGCATGAGTCTCACGATTCTTACGAGCTGGGGGGCTAACTGTTGGGGTCAAAATCGGTACGACGGAAATAATAGCCAAAACTCCCCGCGAAAGTACAAAAAGAACAGTTTTATAAACCCCGAGGAATAGTTTTATAAAACTCAAAGCCGTTTATAAAACTCGCAGACAGTTTTATAAGACTCGAAAGATCGTTTTATAAAACTCGAAAATCGTTTTATAAAACTCGAGAAATCGTTTTATAAAACTCGAGATCGTTTTATAAAACTCAAGAAATCATTTTATAAAACTCAAGGATCGTTTTATGAAACTCGAGAATCGTTTTATAAAACTCAAAGATCGTTTTATAAAACTCGAAGATCGTTTTATAAAACTCGAGAAATCGTTTTATAAAACTCGAGAATCTTTTTATAAAACTAGAGAATCATTTTATAAAACTCGATGTCGTTTTATAAAACTCGAGAAATCGTTTTATAAAAACTCGAGAATCGTTTTATAAAACTCGAAGATCGTTTTATAAAACTCGAAGATCGTTTTATAAAACTCGAGAAATCGTTTTATAAAACTCGAGAAATCGTTTTATAAAACTCGAGAATCGTTTTATAAAACTCGAAGATCGTTTTATAAAACTCGAGAAATCGTTTTATAAAAACTCGAGAATCGTTTTATAAAACTCGAAGATCGTTTTATAAAACTCGAAGATCGTTTTATAAAACTCGAGAAATCGTTTTATAAAACTCAAAGATCGTTTTATAAAACTCGAAGGTCGTTTTATGAAATCCGAAGATCGTTTTATAAAACTCGAGAATCGTTTTACGAAATCGCAAAAAACCGAAAAAGCCGTAAAACGCGAACTAGTCGCAACTAGTTCGCCCATCGGCGAACTAAGAAGTACTCTTCTAGTTCGCCCGGCTTAGTTCGCCGATGGGCGAACTAAGAGTCACTCTCTAGTTCGCCGATGGGCGAATTAGGAAGTGGTCAACTAGTTCGCCCATCGGCGAACTAAGCCGGCCCGGCTTAGTTCACCGATGGGCGAACTAGGACATGCTCGACTAGTTCGCCCATCGGCGAACTAAGCCGGTCCAGCTTAGTTCGCCGACGGGCGAACTAGAGACTTCCCGGACACTCTGCGTCTCGATTTCCCGCATTCCCGATTCGAAACTTACGTCTTTCGACAAGGTCGCGTTCTAAACCACGGCCGAAATATCTCCCGTTCCGTCTCGATCCGACTTATCGTTCGAGTTTTACGATAAAAATTGTAAAACTTTGTTTTCTCGGAAAGAACTCGAAGAAATCGTATAAAACGGCAACGGTTAAACGAAACCCCAAACATTGCCTAAACTATACGATTTATTCGAGATTTCTCGTTGAAATCATAAAAAACGCGCTTTTAATAAAAAACGCCGAGTAAGTCGTAAAAACGTGTTTTTAATAAAAAAGTCTAGTAAATCGTAAAACCTTGCGATTAACTCGAGAAATTTATTAAAAACGACGTCAGATCAGGAAACGATCCCGTAAAAAGTCGGAAAACGGTTTTTTATCGCAAAAACGGCCCGGAAGGACCTAAAACGCGATAAAAACCCATCTCGCGATTTCAACGGAATTTAACCCGCAGATTTGATAACGTTTTGACGGTTTACTCGCAGAGGGAAAATAAAAGTCAAGTTTAAAGATAAAAGGAAGGTTTGAAGAGAAATAGAAGATTTCCGCGGAAGAAAAGGAAGGATCGAGAAAAATGGAAAATTCCCGATTTAGTCGAATCTGGGCAAAATGGAAAGATCGGATAGCCAAGGCGAGGAGTATATAAAGAGGAGGTCTAGGGCAGAAGCAAGACACACAAAATTCAGAGCTCTCACCACCAAAACTAGCATTTAGGAATATTTCCGTTTTTCTGTTAGCGAGCTGCGTCTCAATTAGGGTTTTCGTTCTTAAACTTTTCGGCTACTCTTTTGTACCAGTTCTACGCAGATTCGGAATAAGAACCTCTTTGCTCTCTATTTCGTTTATTTTCATTCAAATTCTAAGTTATCGTTTTCTTATTTTTCGTTGTGCGGTTCTCGCAGATAGTCGGTTCCTCTGGAAACTTAGGGTTTTCCCGAAGTTTCCTTTTTTACGATTTATATGACAGTGAGTGGATTTCGACACCCACAATTGCAAAGAAAAACTTAAAACTATAGAGAATTGTTTAAGAGTTTAGAGAGAGGGGAAAGCTTTTAGAGAGATAAAGAAATCGCTCGTGTCTCTCCTTGCTGCTTATGGCCTCGTATTTATAGGCGAAGTCTGCTTTCATAGTGCTTGAAACGTGTCATCTTCTTGTGGTACCGACACTGGGTTGAATATGTGTTGCTTCTTGAATGGTGCCGACAGTTGGTTGATGGAGGCCTTTGTTGCTTAGCGCCAGAGTCTTCATGTGGGTCCCATCTTTGTCGGTTGTGGATCCCTTGATGATGATCCTTACTGACAGTTATCATATTATTGAGTATTTTATACAGATATACTCTGTATAAATATTTTGTACCTAGTACAAATACAGTAATATACAAAGTCGAAAATGAAAATATTTTACAGAATCTACTAGGATATTTTTAGAAAATTTAAAACTATAAACACATTTTTACGTTTTTATTTATTTATTACTCTTCTTTCAGTATAGTTTTGATTAAACTTACTTTTATTGATCTTGAATTGAGATACAAAGCTTGGTTACAAGATTGTGAAAAGAAAACTTAAAAGGATTGCAAAGAAAAAATTAAAACTCAAGAGAATTTTTTAAGAGTTTAGAGAGAGGGGAGAGCTTTTAGAGAGATAAAGAAATCGCTCTTGTCTCTCTTTGCTGCTTATGGCCTCGTATTTATAGGCGAAGTCTGCTTGCATAGTGCTTGAAACGTGTCATCTTCTTGTGGTACCGACACTGGATGGAATACGTGTTGCTTCTTGAATGGTGCCGACAGTTGGTTGATGGAGGCCTTTGTTGCTTAACGCCAGAGTCTTTATGTGGATCCCATCTTTGTCGGTTGTGGATCCCTTATATTTTGATTGGTGGGCTTTTAGTTTTTAATAAATAAATAAATACTTAAAATTTAAAATATAAATTTGAAAAATAGTTTCAAAAACAAAATTTGAAAATAAATTCAAAAAAATTATAAAAAGTTAGAAATTTAAAAATATAATTCAAAACTATATATATTTTATTTTATTTTTATTTTGTTTAAATAATTTTTTATATTTATATATATAAAGTAATGATAAAAAAGTCTTTTACTCATTAATGAAAACTGTATCTGGGAAATGTCTCTCTAATAAGGATAAACACTATATTTACCATTTCTTTTTTTCGTCTACCTAATTTTGACAAACATTTTTAAAATTTAAAATGCAAAATGTTCGATTGGAAATACACATATATATATATATATATATATAGTGGCTTTTTTTGTGAATCCACCAGTTAGGAAATACACACACATATGTAAACCAAAACATAAAGATGCGGAACATTTCTCTCAAAGCTTCACTCTTGATTTTCATTTTGATCATCACATCGGGTAAGTATTTCTTTTGCTTCTAGAACAATAGGGTTAGTTATGTCTCTTTTCACAAATATAAATAGAGAAAACAAAACTTAACTGTTGAAACCCATTTTATTTATGTGAATGATGTGGAAGATTTTGGAACAGAAGCAAGAGAGTTAACTGAAGTTGAAGTTATGGCCGGAAATTCAAATTACGCTGTCTTTGGCATGTCTCTAGATCCAGCACATCCACTTTGCAAAAGAAACATCAACTGTACCTTCGAATGTCCCAAGAGGAGGATTCTGCAACTATAGTGTTCGGTTATGTGATTGTTTCTGATCATTTTTCTAATATAATTTTCATCTAAGAAATGTATTGCCATCAATTATTTAGCCTTTAATACACCGATTTTGTATTTCAAGATTACCATAATAAAACTGCGCTTGAAATTCAATATGCAAACTTCGTTCAACTGTCTCACGACGTTCTGAACCCAGCTCCAAATAAAACAAAACAAAACAATTACTTCAAGGTCTACCTGAGGCCTCTCCTTGCCAATGATAATCTTGACCTTGAAGAGACTGTGGCTTCTTCTTCCTCTTCTCCACTTTCGTCACTGTCTAGAACAACAATGGATTCAGGCATTGATGCTTCTTCTAAGACCGACTTGTCAAACTCTTCCCCACAACTTCTCACATCTCTATTCACATACATGTCAGTTTGCGCAAGTTCCTCTGTTTTGCTAACTTCATTCAACAGTGACTCTCCAAAAGGTCTCAAGGACAGTTTTTGGTTTAGTCTATTGCTTTCACTCTTTGCAGCAGAAGATCGAAAACCTGAAGAGGCCAAGTTGTTATTAAGTGATGCAGCATTAACCAATGGCTTCTTTAACCCCAGAGAAAGCTTCTTTAAATTTGAATGTGGCTTCTCGTTTTCTTTGCAAACAGCTGAAACTTCATGTGTGAGTTCTTCACCACACAAGTCTTTCTTCTGAGATTGAGGAGGCAAGGAAAGAGATAGCTTCTTCCTGCTCCCTCCGTCATAGAAACCAATCACTGCTTTTCTTTTCCCATTACCATCCATTTCTTGATCTCTAGAACTTGAGAGAAGCAGTTGACTATTCGATATAACAGTGTCAAGACTATCTTTACGTGTTATGCTCAAGGAAGACTCCTCTGTTAGCTTGGGCTTTTCGTGATTATGAGCTAAAACACTGTTTTCACTTTCAGAAACATTCTCATCTCCATGACTCTAAAGAAACAAAAAGGATGCAAAGTCAACATTTACTTTTAAAGCTCTCATTGAAAAAACTAACTAACTAACAACGCACCTTAATCTCGGCCGAGTTTTAAAGCTCTCATTGAAAAAACTAACTAACTAACAACGCACCTTAATCTCAGCCGAGTTTGGTCTTCCATGAATCTGGAGGCTGGTGCTGCTCCCATCACCAGACTTCTTAACCTTTACAGCATACTTCTCTGTCATCTCCCGTGCCTTATGATCGAAAGTTTGTCTATTGTATTTGTACTCCCTGCTCTGAGAGAAACAAAGACCAGCAAAAGAAGAATCAAAAATAGAATTCTCAGAGAGAAACTGAGTTTGTGGTAGCATGTAAGAAGACTTACTACTTCACACATCAAGCCATCATCTGGGTTCGGTTCACTAAGCAACAACCCAATGCTCGTCAACACTGTCGAGATGTTCAATGATGGTTGCCAAGCACCCTGTGGCTCACCACAATAAATAAAACTAACAACCGTTATCTTTCTTTTCTAATGAAAAATGTCACTTTCGCTTCCTTTGTGGCAATTCAGAACAAGAAACTAAATTTGATTCAGCAACATAAGAATGCATTTGCTGAAGCCATGTAATATTAGTTTTGTCCCAACCATTATTCGAACTTGAAATAAGAATGCAATTCATCACTAGTACTGAGTGGCTTTCATGTATGTATTCTACTAATAGCCAAGAACCACCAAAGACAAAGATGGATTCAACAAAAACTCTGGAGCTTCTATTTAACAAAAGCTCTAACAAACGTTACCTTGGGAGGGAGATTCAAGATGTCGAGGCAAATCCGGCCACTGTTATCGATGTTTGGATGGTAAATCGGTGTAGCAAAAGACACAATAGGAGGCTGAAACGGATACCTAAAACAAGATTTATCTCAATCAGACTCAAAATCATCATCATCTAGGCAGTTTAGATCTAGAAGGTAGTTACCTCTCTGGAATTTGAATCTTCAGGATGAAGATTCCATTAGCATAAACAGTATCTTCAGGTCCTTCGATATCTGTGGATATAACCAAAACCAAATCCAAAAATTGAGAAGGAGGAGTGATGGATTAATTAGTGGAGACAAAGGGATAATGAGAAGCGAACGAGCATCGATGGTGGAGAAAGAAGAGAAATAATCGGCGGAGCCGGAAGCGGCGGAGGAGAGGTGAGGGAAGGAAGCGCCGTGAGGTGGATCGGTGAGGAGAAGCTTCAGCTCTTTCTGCATCCTCATGCTTAGTCTCGCCGCTTGAGCCATTGAGAATCTGAATAGTTTTTTTCTTTTGGGAAACTTTGAGAGGCAAAATGGATTTTGCAGAGTGATTGGCAACTGGCGGGGAAGATTTTGGATTTTTTGGGGGATTTGGCGAAACGAGCTCTGATATGAACCGTTAGATGATTGATAACATTTATACGATTCAACGGCTCAGATCAGTTACTATGTTTTGAGGAGATGAAAAAATATTGTGTTGACAGTGGAATTTGAACCCACGCCCTTTCGGACCAGAACCTTAATCTGGCGCCTTAGACCAACTCGGCCATATCAACGTTTGTTGTTTGCAGATTCTCATCGTTCAGTATTATATTATTTAAAATGAAATGTTTTTTGTGATCGATCTAATCCCATTAAAAGTTTCATATATTGCTCAATCAACACAAAATGATTTTAAGTGATAAAAATACACAGCGTATAATAAAATTTATTTTTTGAATGCCCGTATGCTAAACAAATTTGGAGAAATTCTGGAATATCTAATAACATCATCAATGGATTTACTCATTCTTTTGAAGAAAAGATTGCGAAGTGTCTCAATTGTTGTACATCATGGCCATTGTCTCATCTTCAACGTAAACCATTATGGATCCTTTGGAGGCTAGGGAAAAGTCGAAATACATTGATATTTCAACAAAATAAAATTCACTGGAGAAGGACTCTACAATATGCTAAAAGATGCAAAAGAATGGCAAAGTATAGGCACATTACAATTAGATTCACATCCTTAAGTAAGGGTAGCTGAGAGCAGGACTAACTCCTTTTGGACAAGACCACCGACGGGAAGGGTCAAATGTAATGTAGATGCGAGTTTCGTGAATACACATCTACAAGCAGAGGTGGGTTTCGTTATAAGAGATGATTACGGTATCTATAAAGAATCAATCCAAGCATTAGGCAAGAAAGTCCAGACTTCTTTTGAAAGTGACCTACAAGGCATCCTCATGGCGCTTCAACATTGTTGGATAAGAGGAATTACGAAGTTAATAATAGAGGCAAACTGCAACAAAGCTGTTTAGGTACTAACAAAAGGAAAGCTACATTTTGGAGCTTACAACTGGATTGGAGAAATCTGATGGTGGATGCAAAAGTTTGAAGAAATTACAATAACTTGGGTGGGAAGAAAGGAAAACCAGGTGGCTGATGTGTTGGCTAAGACTAATATTCCAAATAATAGTCTGTTTGTATCTTATTATTTTGTCCCAACAATGATTACCAATCCTCTACATAAGGATTATATACACTCAAGATAAATCAATAAAATTAGCCGTTATTAAAAAAATATAGATAAAACTCATCACATAAGTGAGCTGAAAATACATAAGAACCAAACAAATTTTTCACATGCTCTCTAGAACGTGGCTAGATCGAGTGAATGAAAAACTGAATTAGTAGAATATATATGGAGTAATCATCTTGTTTTTTGGTCAAACATACGGAGTAATCATCTTGTATATCATTCTATCTAATAGGAAAAGTTGAAATATTCTTCTTCTAATTATTATTTTTTATTTTTTTATTTAAAATTAATGAATTTACGGATTTACCTCTAACTCTAATAATAAAGTGTATCCAGTTCTTTTTTTTCATTATCTCTTTCTTTTCTTCTCATCTTCTACTCTCTTTCTCTCTCCCTATCTCCGATTCTCTCTCACTTTCCTGCAATTTACAAACTATTATCCTTTTCACTATGTTCCTTTTTTTCTTAATTCATCTGAGTTTTTGTTTCTTCTTTTCTTTTTATCCTTTTCTCCAAAATATTAGATCATCCGCCGTCATAGTCACATTCTTCCATAATTATTGAGCAAAAACTTGAATACGACATAAGAAACATCTACTGCGCAAGATGATGAAACAAAAACATTGATGAAGAAATATGGGGTTTTTTATTTATTTTAGGGTTTATTTTATTTCTTTTTAGTTTTGGACTTTTCTGGAATTTCTTCATTATTTAGATCTGTTTCGTATTCTAACTAAACCATGGATCTATAAAATTTGAATCTGGCTGTGTGTTTCTTTGATTAATATTTTGCAGATCTGAATTCAGTAGAACTGGTAAAACTTAGTAGAACTACATCAATATAACTAATTATAAATTATTCAGTAGAATTAGTTAACTTAGTATAACTAGTTAAACCCGTATAATTAACTGGACCAATATAACTAGTGGACAGTTGTACGTCGATAACTAAAATTTGAAATTTTTTTTAAAAAATTGAGAATTTTAAAATTTAAAAGCTGAAATTTTTGAATTTTACAAATTTAGGGTATTGAGATTAATGAAAGATAAAGAATTTTATTTTCTTCTATAAGAACATATAAGATGATGGCTCACATCATGTGGATTGCTTCCTCCCATGCCGTCAACACGTGGAGTATAAAATAAGGAAACTCGAAGAATTATATGTTTTCACCCAAAATAAACAAAGAAGAAAGAGTAAACTGCACGTGATCGAAGGACGGGTTGACACGTAACTCTCGTGGATCCAATCAAATCCATATGCCCATCAGCCTATGAATTTTATGTTCTCACGAGGCAAAAACATCTCCAATATAAAATTCTATTTTTCTCATAAATGTAATAACTGCATAACCGTGTTGAATTTACTCCAACACCATTTTGGATTGAAAACTGGAATATGAACAAATAATAAAAAGATTATTCCATTTATAGAGTAAATATATGTTTACTCCATTATATAATAAAAAATGGAGTGGGTTTAGTGCATTTCTTATTCCAAACTTCATTTTAGAATATTATGGAGTGAGGTTGGAGATGTTCTGAGTTGCATCTTCGTTTTCAAATTTTAAATATGTTTCTACTACTCCTATTTTGTCTAATTTTAATCTACATAATTTGACGTATAATAATATTCTTGTATGGTACGGGAGCTTGCAACTGAGAGAAAGAGAAACTAAAGAGGAAAAAAAGAGAAGCAATGGCAGCTGAGATAGAGATGCCTTTAAGCATTCACTACAAGAAAACAGGTTTTTGCCGACTGATTTTACCGACTGTATATGCAGTCGCTACATTTACCGACTGATTCCCGACTGTTCTGTGACTTCCTTGCGACCATAAGAAAACAGTTAGTAATCAGTCGGCAAATACCGACTAAAGAAAATAGTAGCAACGCAGTCATATATTAGCGACTGACTTGCGACTAATACAAAGTCGGTAAATATCAGTCGTTCATTAGTCGCCAAATTGGTGACTGTTTAGTCACTGAAATATTTTAGGTTAAACGGTCGTATTTCAGTCGTTAAAAACCGGTACAAAAACACGTGGATAGTGTTGCTAGGTAGGTGTAACAATTTTTAACGACTAAACAAATCAGTCGGTAAAATCAGTCGGAAAGTAGTAGCAAAACAGTCGGCAAATTTTCATTATATATATCAGCACCTAGACATTTTATCGTCTCAAGCGTGGAAGAAAGAAAACTTATAGAAAAAAAACGTTCGGTCATATAATGGGAGACAATTACAACTACACTAATTTTCGAGATTGGATGTACAAGAGGATCAATGAAGAAACGGGGAACTTCTCGGAAGAATTCGTAGCGGGAGTAGAGCAATTCATGACATTTGCAAATAGTCAGCCTCTAGCACAAAGTAATCAGGGTAAGTTCTTTTGCCCTTGCAGTGTTTGCAAAAACGAAAAATTTCTCCCGGGGCAACGAATTTTGAAACATATATATAGTAAAGGGTTTATGCTCGACTATTATGTGTGGTACAAGCATGGAGAAGAACTTGACATGGAATTAGGAACAAGTTACATTGATCAAACGCATTTTAGTGGTAGTGAAGAAGTTGGTAATGTAGTAGAAGATAGATATGTGGAAATGGTGAACGATGCATTTCGTGATAATGTGAGTTTTGATAACTATCAACATGGTGATGGTTATCAAAATGTAGTAGATCCGGAATGCAACCATTCTAAGAAGTTCTACAACTTATTAGAAGGAGCGAAAAATCCTTTATATGATGGTTGTCGAGAAGGTCACTCGCAGTTATCATTAGCTTCTAGGATTATGCAAAATAAGGCAGATTATAATATGAGTGAAAAGTGTGTGGATTCGGTATGCGAAATGTTGACAGACTATTTACCAGCTGGAAACCAATCAACCGGTTCACATTACGAGACAGAAAGGTTGATGCGTAATTTAGGCCTCCCATACTATACAATTGATGTGTGTGTTAATAATTGTATGATCTTCTGGAAAGAGGATGAAAGGTGGGATAAGTGTCAGTTTTGTGATGCACCAAGATGGAAGCCTAGAAGCGAACGTCGTAGAACCAAAGTGCCATATAGTCGTATGTGGTATTTACCTATTGCTGACAGATTGAAGAGAATGTATCAGAGCAAGAAGACAGCAGCAGCGATGAGATGGCATGCGGAGCACCAAACAAAGGAGGGTGAAATGTGTCATCCGTCAGATGCGGCGGAGTGGAAACACTTTCAAGATCAACATCCCCGGTTTGCGGAGGAACCTCGTAATGTTTATCTCGGCTTATGTACGGATGGATTCAATCCATTTGGGATGTCTAATAATCATTCGTTGTGGCCAGTGATCTTGACTCCATATAATCTACCCCCTGGCATGTGCATGGATACAGAGTACTTGTTTCTTACAATTTTGAATTCTGGGCCAAATCACCCGCGAGCAAGTCTAGATATCTTCCTTAAACCTCTAATTGCAGAGTTAAAAGAGTTGTGGTCTACTGGAGTTGAAGCATACGACGTTTCCTTGAATCAAAATTTTAATCTTAAAGCCGTGCTCCTGTGGACGATAAGCGACTTTCCGGCATATGGCATGTTATCAGGATGGACGACTCATGGTAAGCTGTCTTGTCCAATTTGCATGGAAGATACAAAGGCTTTTTATCTGCCTAATGGAAGGAAGACATGTTGGTTTGATTGTCATCGGAGATTTCTTCCTCATGACCATCCACTGAGGAAGAACAAAAAAGACTTCTTGAAGGGAAAACACGCTATGAACGATTTTCCACCCGAGTCTTTGAATGGTGAAC